GAGAGAGAGAGAGAGAGAGAGAGAGAGAGAGAGAGAGAGAGAGAGAATCTGTTAACTAACAAAGATATGAAAAATTTATCAGCATCCCTATACAGAGTTTCAGTTGCACACAAGTGCAGCAGAATTCTAAATCCCAATCTGAAAAAAAGATGGGGGGAATACATAAAATCATATGAAATTACATACGCCAGTCAATTTTTAAATCTTCAGATGATATGGCAAACTGCGCCATTGTGGTAAATTGGGGAAATCCAACTGTCATGCATGGCAGCTGCAAGAAGCCATCAAGAGGCAAAAAGGAGTATTCATCCTACTAAATATCCTGGATAAAGTGGAGGCAATAGCATCAGTCTTGGCAGTAGCCAAATCAGACAAAGCTACTCACACAGCTGGGGAGCCACTGCATGTCCGGCAAGGTCCATTTGCCAGATGCACCCTTTTATGTCTTGCCTCCGCCCTTTTCTGCCGTGGGAAGAGCACACTTGCACATACTCCTCCAGCCCTTGAGACTTACCCTCCCTCTCAGCATGTATCGTGGGAAGAAGAAATAGGGAATGGATGTGAGAAGCAGACAGCCAGAGGCAATGAGGAGTCCTAACCACCATGCTCCAATCCACCGCTGGTCTCCTGGGACCAAGGTCATATCCTCTGAAAGACAAGGGAAAGCAAGTAAGAGGAAAGCCTCGTGAATCCACTTCCAAGCCGTCAGGTGTTTTGCATATGCCCACAGCAGAGGTTCATCCAGCTGCTGCGGATCATCCAGCTTTCAAGGGCACACCCTAATCTACCTGGGATTTCCTACAAGTAGCAGCCACACCAGCAAATCTGCCCCATGATTTCTCTGCTGTTGTTACTGTATTGGTCTTCATGGCGGAGGCAGTTTTTCTCGGTGCCAGCATGCACTGTTACCTGGCACAGAGTTACAAATTCAAGAAAATGCATTAGACTTGAAGCAGACCAGCAGCCTATCCAGTGTAGCCTTCTCCTCTCACAGTGGCCAGCTAGGTGCCCATGAGAACCCGGCAAGCAGGAAATAACCTCAGCTGCATTCCCCAGCCATGTTTCCCAGCAGCCGGTGTTCAGAACTATATTGCCCCTGATACAGAAGAAAATGCAAAGCCCTAGGAGCCTTCTTCTCTATGGACTGGTAGAAGCCCTCTTTAAAGCCAGTTGGTGGCCAACACAACAACCTGCAAAAACAAACCCCACATTTTAACTGTGAATAAGTACATGTTTCATCTGCCCTGCATCTCTCACCATTCCCCTTAATTGGATGGCTCCACGTTCCGTATTATGGGATAGGATTCTATCATTTCATTAAAATGGGATGAAGCAGGTATTAGCGCTTAGGGAAAAATCTTCCCTAAAACCAGGTGGGCAGCAAGAGTACCCATGGCATATTCCCTCAGAAGTCTGAGGGAAAGTAGTTTCTGTTCCAGGTAACCTTTAAAGGACCCGGGTGGGGGGGGGGGATGGCTCACCAAAGGAGAGAGAAGATGACAGTGGCTGTGTGTGGATGAGCAGGGACATTTGCTGATGCAGACACCATGGCAATCCAAGAGCATCGTGTGGTGCAAGGTATTTGTTGGAGTGTAAACCCTGCGCAGCCTACGCCAAGGCACAAGGAGGCAACCAGCGCGTGGGGGAAGGGCCGTAGTCCAGTGGCAAAGCTCCTGCTTTGCATGCAGAATGTCCCCCTTTCAATCCCTGGCGTCTTCAGGTGGGGCAGGGAGAACTGCTGCCTGAAATCCCGAAGGGCTGCTGTCGTTCAGTGTTGACAGTACTGGGCAAGATGCTCTAACTCAGTCTAAGGCAACTTCCAATATTCCCATCCAATGTGTTTGCACCATTACAACATTGATTAAGGAAAACAATCTATTTCAGCCCTCTTTCCTTTTAGATGCCTGGTGCCTTTTGAATTGGCTTAACCAGCAATCTGTGCAAACAGGGGAGCTGGAAATATTTGTTGCCCAGTTCCTGGATGGAATCTCCTCTCCCATTGTTCCTGGGCTGGGCAGACCTCCTCCAGCTAAGAGTCAGGCACAAGCCTGGCCACTGATCTTGGAATGAGAAGATTAATCAGGCTGGCTTTTGGGATCATAGCACTCCAGAGACTCCTTGAGAAGAGACACTGAGTCATTCCATGTCGAGAGTGGACATTCTCCAGGTGGGAGGCCTCACTCAGAATTGGCACAGAATGTGTGTCTTCCCATTGTTAATGGGTGGGAAGGAATAAACAGCCATCTTCAGCCTCTTGCAGCTCAGTTCAGACTTCCTGCCCTCCAGGATTAAAAAGTGTAAAGGCAAAGAGAGCCCACAACTTGCCAAAACAATGGCACAGCTTCCTTGGATGTGTCTAGCCCACAGAACTAGGTGACATCATAAAGAAGCAACCACAGGGAGGTAATGAAAATACATGAAAATAATTAAAGCTGTCTGTCTATCCAGAGAAGAAAGCCACTTCCCCTTCTAGTACTCAGCTCATGAACCAGATGATAATTATTCTGTGAACCTAGATAGCCTAGAAACGCAAGACAGTTCTTCAGCATGGGGACATGATTTAGGCAGAAGTTTCCGATTGCTGGAGAGAACATTGCATGCAACACACATTCATGTGCATACTGAAAAGAACTGGTAGAAATAGTGATCAGTCCTAGGGCAGCCATCTTGTAAACCCAAATTTTACATCAGTATATATTTGTGACCCAGAAGCACCTAATCCTACAATCGAATCTGACTTTGTCCAACCCGCCCCTCTGGTGAGACAAGAGATATCTGTCTAAGATGGTGAAAAGGGCATAATCTGAAGCCATTAGGCCAATTTACCAGCTTTTCAGTCCAGTGCTCTACCATAAAACAGTAGGGCAGGAAGTCCATTGGCTCCACAGAGGCTAGAATTATGATAGAAATCAATCTCTCCTTTTCTGCACGTAACTCCACTGCTGTTATGCACAAATGAGCCTAACGGGCTGTATCCAATATTAGTCCTACTTAGAGCAGAGCCACTTGAATGGGACTCATGGTTAGTCAGAAGTAACTTACATTCCACTTTTTTCAATGGGTCTGCTCTGTGTACAGTCCCATGTTCGCATTCAAAAGCACCCAAGGGACATGAGTCACTGTTGCACCCTGCCATGCTCCGCGAGCTTCATTGGACAACCACTTGTTCAATTAAGCCATTGCTTTCTAATGATTACAGCAATGTTCCAACAATTGTATCTGCAAATATTCTGCAGCTTCTGGACTTTTATCCTTAGCAAGGAATATGTGGCTTTTTCCTTTGGGTATGAGGAACTGTGGAAAGTAACACTACTTCTGATTGCAGCATGCTATGTCTTTGCCTACCAACAAGAAGCAAAACAAGAATTTGTCCTCAAATGGAAAAGGGAGCTGGTAACACAGTGGGCACATTCATGCATCTCCTAAACTACCTTGAGAATAAACCACGGCACCTTATATGCTTTATAGAGGCTTACTATGGTTGTTCTTTCTCTCCCACTGTTCCCCACAAATCTTCCAGCTGGCTCCAGCACATATTCCAGTATCTATCAGAGCAGGACCTGCTTAATTTGCTTCTCTTCTACTTGCCACTCTGATTGCGTTGCTTTTTCATTTGCATGGGTGGGATCATTTAAAAATAAAAATTCAGCTCCTGAAAATTGCACAACCCCATCTATCTATCTATCTATCTATCTATCTATCTATCTATCTAAGGTCAATCTTTCACAAGTGTAGTCTTATGGCTCTCCAGTACGTTTAGTCTTGCTTGGTCAATTTTCTGGTTTGTTTCAGTTGTGAAGGGAGTAGGGAAGTGGAGAAGGTAATAGACTTACAGGGCAAGATTGCATATAGATTAATTTGTGCACAGTTATCAGGAACCAACTGCCAAGCTGTCAACTGAAAAGCCCCAGGAAAGGGGGAAAGGGACACAAAAGATGTTCCAACGGGTGGTGGTGGGGGAGAATGACAATATTCTTCCCCTTAGCAATTTAACCTTTTGATTTTAAGCACTGAACCAATTATTACCAATGCTTTTCCCCTTTCCAGCACTTACCCAACTCTCCAGCTACTCCAGAAAGGGGAAATAACAACTCCCCCCCACTTAATTTTGTGGTTCTGTTTCAACTGCCCCCAAACAGTTCTCTTGTTAAAAAAACAGAGATATATGCAAATTTAATGGCTGGGAATTAAATGGAGGGGACATGCATGCACCTGTAGTAATGAAGCAGTTTATGTCCTCTCCATTTACTTTCCAGGCATTAGTTTTATGTACATTTCACCTCCATTTACTTTGCAGCTGTTTATGCATGAGTATTTCTGCAATTTTTAAAAAAACTTCCACAGAATTGCAATAGCTGCTCCAAAAAGAAGCCACAGGAAGAGGGAGAGGAATTATTATATCCCCTTTCTGGAGTAGCTAGAGACCCAGGGAAGACTTGAGAAAATGGAAGGCACTAAGTGGTGTCCATTCAACCCTTTAGGATCACCCAGCCAAGAAGTACTATTGCTCTGCCTCCTTCTGAAGCTTCTTTGGTTTCCACAGCACTCCCACTTTGACACAGTTTGGGTGCTTCTGACTTGTACCCCTCCTTTCTCTTATTTTTATTTCTCCCCTGGTCCTTCACAACTGTGTGCAAATCAGCTCCGTCTTGTCAATACTCCAATCAAGTAACTGTAACTTTGCGCACGTGCAAAATGCCCCCGACTCTGCAATTCTGAGGCAACGGGGGCCAAGTGACAGTCCTTCTAAGGGTTGTTTCAGCATTGGCGAAGAGAAATCAGTAGCACATCTGCAGCAACCCACCATAAAATCAGTCTCCCAGGATGACAGGACAGCCCTCTGTGGGCGAGGAGAATCTCACAACAAGACATGCTTTTTCTGGTTTGTTTTCTCATGAGAATCTAATCATTGTGTGTGACCACAGCACTACTTCTCAAATGTCTCAGGTCTATCAAGTAGCTGGGACCACTGACCAGCAAACATGCCCCTCTGCAGCAGAAAGATACTCACTCAGATCAACCCTCCCAAAGTCCACAAATATCCGCAGTACTGCAGAACCAAGGAGGTAACCAAATGCCGGGCCAAACACTGCAATGGCAAATAAGAGTGCTGAAAAAGAGAGGGATAGGGAGAGAAGATAGTTAATGTTTGTGTGTGCTTGGATTACATTTCTTCACTTCTGGTGCAATGCTTTTTTATTCCTAAAGCTTGCTTTGCTCCTAGAGAGATAAACAATATTTAACATGGATTGGATAATTAATAGTTCTGTGTACTAAGAAGCTACATGTCTTATTTACTGAACAGGAGTTGTTCCTGTTCAAAATAGATCCCGGCAATCCTGCTGAAATAACAATAATTTTAAAAAGAATACCCATGATGAATCAGATCAATGACTTATCTAGTCTCTTCCACAGTGTCCAGATACTGTTGGGAAGCCCACAGCAAAATTTTTGCTGCTCCCCAAGGAATATATAGCCACTATGATTGGTAGCCACTAGTGGCCTTATTCTCCATGAATATGTCTAATCCTCTTTTAAAGCTGTTGATGTTGTTGGCCATCACTACATCTTGTGGTAGCAAATCCCATACCTTAATTATGAATGTGTAAATATGTACTTTCTTTTATCTGTCCTGAATCTAGCACCATTCAGCTTCACTGGATAACACTAATTATACTCACTTTTTCTACCCCATGCATAATTTTGTACATTTTTATCATGTTCCCAATTACTTTAGTTTTTTCTGAATTAAAATATCCAAATCGTTGTAACCTTTCCTCATAGGGCTTGAAGACCAGAGTAATCTGTCATTTACAGTGTTCTATCTGCTGCTGATTTCAAACTTAGGAAACTGTGCACTTACTAAAAATTTAATATTTTGGTCACACAATCTTACTTTATATTTGTATAGCAATATAGAGTGGGTGAGTGATGGGGAGGTCATATATAGGCAATGTCTGGAATGGCAACACTACAAGTCTCCTGACATCCTGCCCAGTTAATCATACACATGCCAATTCAATAAGAAGGAAAAAAAGCATGAAAAAATGAGGGCCAATTTAATATTTAATGTGTCCCTAAAAGCAGCCCTTATACCAAAGGTTTGGAGAATGGCCAATGAAACTTCGTTTCTTTAAAAGGGATCCAGGGGAATCGAGAAAATTACAGGGCTGTTAGCTTAACATCTGTTCTGGGTAAACTGCTTGGAATTATTATTAAAGATTGAATCAGTAAACACAAAGATGGACTAGATGCATTAGAAAATGTGCAGAGCAGGGCAGCAAAATGATCAGCCTCCCTATGAGGAATGGCTACAACAACTGGGACTGTTTAGCTTAGAGAAAAGGCAAATAAGGGGAGACATGGTAGAGGTGCTTATCATGGAGAAAGTGGAGAGGGAGACATTTCTCTGGGGTCATCCCATGATTGGTGGGAGGTTTAGGATAGACAAAAGGAAGCACTTCTACACATAGCATATAGATAAACTATGGAATTCATTGCCATGGGAAGTGGCAATGCCAGTCCAGATGGTTTTAAAAGGAAATTGGTCAGATTCATGAGAAGGGAGGCTGTCACTGGCTATTGGCCTTGCGCTACCTCCTTTACCAGAGGTGGCATGCCTGGTATACCAGTTGCTGAGAGGTTGGGTAAGCAGAGGTCTTGCACCCACCCTGCTTGAGCAATCTTGTGAGCCACTGGTTTGCCACTGCGTGCACAGAGTGCTGGACTAGATGGACCTTTGGGATGATCCAACATGGCTTTTCTAGTGTTCTTAATTCACAAGGCAAGCTGACCAACAATGCCAGTCCAGCAACCAAGATTGTGAGGTATCATTACTGATGATTCATTGTTTTCCTCTATGCTCAAATGGGGTAAAGAATGAGCTCTCTGGTTTTATTGGCTAACTAATATCCTGCCCATTATGTTTTCCTCTACTGTATTAGAAAACAACTTTACCTGATAATTAAATTACTTTTTCATATCTTAAAAAAAGTGCAGAACATTCACTGTCAAAAATATATTTTGATATCCTGAAGCCTCAGCTTGGCACCCACAGTGGCCATTTGTGCTGTTCTACAAGAACAGTGCAATCCTACGATGTTTACACAGAAAAAAGTCCTGCAAGTTCCAGCACGCCTTAGCGAAACATGGGAATTGTAGGACATTTTTCTATCTAAACATGCAGATGACTAGATCCTAAGTGCTGTTTTTGTATCTTTGGAATATCTAGGCTGGAAAGAAAGAAGAAAGATTAAAACCCCTCCACATAAACATGCTGGGAATCACAGCAGCACACTAAAATTAAGGTAAGCAAAGGAACATCCCTTACCTAGACTAAAGGTAAAGCATGTTTTCAGGGAAAGCACATACCTATGTACAAGGGAGAGTTGTTTGGCTCAGCAAAATCATCCACGTAGGAGATACCAAAAGGCTGTATGGGAACTGTCCCAATTCCTGCCAACAGCTGAGCAACTACCATGATTCCCCACATGGTGCCAGCCTCTGCTTGGACGTTCACGGTGGCATTCGGACAGGTGAATTGGCTGTTGCAAAGTTCAGATCTGCTGCTGCTGCTCTTGTTGGCTGGAACAAAACAATGCCATAAATTCTTTGAACGGTCATGGACCATTAGACTGCTACTTGAAATTCAGTAATGCTGGCATGACTTTTCCTAGCAAAAGAAAATGTCCCAAAACATTTATCAATAGGAAAACCATGAGGAATCTGAGCAACACTTTGCAGGTATGTTTTTCATGCAAGTTTATTTGGACAACAGGTCTAACATAGGTCTTTCCCCTGATTCGCTGTGGAAACCCTGGTACATGGTAAACAAATGCAGAGCAGCACAGGTGGGCAAAGTGAGATACTCTACTGGTGTTTTTGAGGATCTCCAGGATTCAGATGAGACCACGGCAGACATGGGGGCACCAGAACCCTGGCTGAGATCCTGAAGAAAGAAAAAAAAAGGTGAGGGGAAAAAGAAAAGACGACAAGAGAAAGAAAGAAAAAAGAGATCCCACAAAAAGAAAGGGCTATTTTTTTTTTCCAGAGGAGGAATGGGGGAACTCACCAACCTTGGGGGTGGCAGTACACAACTACCTGTTTACCCCATCAGCAAGTGCAAATGTATACTATATGCAGCTTCCCACCATTGCATTCTATGGGATATGCAATTTCACATCCTTGTTAGATGGTCAAAAGTCATAACACCTAAAGCTTTCCATCTACGACAGTCAGGATTCTCATAACATACCGTAGCATAGGTGAATTAACTAAGTGTAGAACAAAGCATGGGCTCATTAAGCTAATCATAACAGCAAGAAGAAGCTCATTTACTAGCCTGTAAGGTGGAATCCCAGGCCAAACACAGCTATGTGTTTAGTCCGTTGGCCATCTTACCCAGGGCCTTTGGAACATGACGCCTAGTTTGCTAAGCAAGAAGTAACTCTCAGGCAGCATTTTCCCTTATGCCAAGAAAGCTCTAATACTTTCTGAGGCTAGACCCAGGTCCTGATTTTTACAGCTCAGGTCCAGTACACCTTGGATCATGGCCAAAGTATTTTGTATAGTTATTCTCCAGAGCTCAGGAGTTTACAGTAACAGCAATTGTACTTGCAAATCTAAAAAACTCACTAACAAGGTTAAACTAAACACTCAGAGGGAACTACATTGTTAAACTTTCTTAATACTTCATTCTTGAATGTTGGAGTCCTGCCAGAGTTGTAAACATTTTCAGCTTAATTAGCACTTATATTACCTTTCACTTTAAAGGCATTACCACAACAGTGCTTATGCGGATACATTCATAAAGGTCTCTGAAAAAAGGTGCATCATAGATTTGGAACCCGGGTATTGTTGCTGGGGGGTGGTGTGCTGAGTGAGCGTGTAGGGGTGGCACATCAAATGTCAACTGGATAATTATCATTTGCGGTTTGTCTAGAATTCTGATGTGCTTTCAAATTACTCATTAGCATTCGTAGTGAACAAGATGTTCATGGGAGAAACCAATTCCAATCTATCAAGTGTTTGCAGTTCCTCCTTGAGTGTACAAAGTAATACTTAAATAACCAAAAGGAGTCTAGGAACTCAAATCTAATGCAAAATTAAAACCAGTGCTGCACCTTTGTCTCATGCCAATGTTCTCTCACACACACCCTGTTATTTGCTCATTTTCACAATTGTTCCAATATTTCCATTAACCACAGCACTTAATGAATGACCCCTGTAGGATTGTGGTATTTTTGATCTAATGTTAACACAACAAACACAAATGTTGACCAGGTAATTTAGGGGTTTCAGTTGATGGAACATCATTTCCCACATACAATTAATACACTACTCATAAACATTCCTGTACATGTTCAACACAACAGCCTTATTACATGAGCTTGGAATGCAATTCCAGAAGGCAGAAGCCTTCTCTTAGTCCATTTGAGATTCAATTGCCATGAAGTCTCTATTAGAGAGATGTATCTCATGCCAAAACACAATTTTCATAAGTGAAACTGGTTGTGGTAAATGAGAAGAGAAATACCAAATAAACCAACTTCATTTTGGTTTACGTCAATGCTCCCATTCAAGATTCCTCTCACTTACTAAAGAGATGCCAAGTAGATCAAGGAGGAACATACTGAAACATTAGAGAGCTTTGGAATTTCCTGCCCTGGTGTGCAGGGTGGGGTAAGATATGCCTTTGGCTAAATATGTAGAGATTAAAATCAAATTGCACATAGAACATGAAAAGGTAAATGGGGGCTCTGAATCAGGAAAAACAGACAAATCTACCAAGAAGAGGCTGCCAGGGGACAACCCTATAAAAATGAAGCCCTAGATGAAGAAGACTTCCTTATAGCATGCCTTCCCTAATCTAGTGCTCTTCAGTTGTGTTGGGAGTTGCTATGCAGAATTTCACAGCATGTCCCTCAAAGAACTTCCCATTCAGAAACATAAATGAGAAATGTTCTCAAAAATCACCTAGCACAAACTCTCTCTTGATTTTTCTCTCTCTCATCATCTGTCCATCTGCCTATCTACCTATCATCTTTGCTGTTTATAAAAATCAAGAAGTTAATGCCCCAACACAGAGAAACACAGGTAATCCCTACTGCCTTCACTGTTACAAAGTGAACATTATCCATGAAGTCAGAATATAGACAGTATATGGACAGACATCCTTGAATATAGGGAAAAACCATCAAACCATCTTCATTTGGACTACCTAGATCCTCTGCTTAATGTTATTTCTAATAGGCTGGATCCAGGCTAAGTAATACTTAGTGCAGATCCATTGATTACACTAGATTTCTGTAAGTATGAATAAGCCTGGATCCAGCCATGCATCCTTAGGGATTAGAGATACTATTACTTGAATAGAGATGACTTAGTGGATAAAGTGGAAGTTACAGGAACTCTAGGGGAAGGTGACAACATAGTTGAGTTCTTGATTTTACAGGGAGCAAAAATGGAGTGGAACCATACATGTACTCTGGATGTTGGGGTAACTGATAAACTCAGGAGAATGACAAAGTCCAGTGGCAAGTTGACCCTAAATAAAAAAGGGGCCCAAGATGGGCGGGAGGTTTTTTTAAAGGAAAATTTAAAGGCACAGTTTCAAACAACCCTTACATTAATAAAAGATAGAAGACATCAGAAGAAATCAATCTGGCTGCACAAAAAGCTTTGATTTGACCTAAAGACCAAAAAGAAAAGAAAAAAAAGGATATGCATTGGAAGTGGAAGGAAGGTTAGGCAACAAAAGAATAGTATAGACAAGTGAACTGAAGTGCAGGAATGACATCAGCTAAAGGGGAGACTGAGCTGAGGTCAGTGAAGGATGCTAAAAGCAACAACAGAGCCTTTTCAAGTGCATGTACAGTAAAAGACAGAGGAAAAAATGTTCCTTCGACTTTTCATTGAGGAGGGCAAACGGATAACAGATGACAAAGAAAAGGCCAAAGTGCTGAGCTCCTGCTTTGGCTCAATCTTCTCCCAAAGGCAAGTCTATGATCCCCACTGGGAGAAATGAGGTATAAATGAAGTCCCTTCTGTCTGGCACTTGATAGACCCTATCTTGAGAATCTAAAGTTGGGGGGCTATGAAAATTGGCAAATTTTTAGGGAAAAGGGACAAGGATGATGAGTGGTCTACAAACAATGCTGTAGGAGAGATCAAAAGAACTGTTTAGGCTGGAAAAGAGAAGCTTGAGGATAGATATGACTGCACTTTTCAAACACTTGAAAGGCTGTCACACAGAAGAGGGCCAGGATCTCTTCTCAGTCATGCCAGACTGTTGGACATGGGACAAGGTGTTAAGTTATAGGAAGGCAGGTTCTGGCTGGACAGCAGGAAAAACTTCAGTACAGCAATGGAGCCAGTTACCTAGGAAGGCTGTGGGCTCTCCCACAATGCGGGCATTCAAACAACAGTTGGTTAGCCATTTTTCAGGGATGCTTTAACTTGGGGTCCTGCATTAAGCAGGGGTTGGACCTAATGACCTTATGGGCTCTTTCCAACTGTACTAGGGTATATGTTTTCTATAATTCTATAAATGAAGGTCCTTTTTCTGACACTCCAGTGACAGGCAGCTCACTTTCAGTCTCAAGGGAGTGATTCTGATGGAGCACCAATTCCCATGGAGGAACACTTATAGAAAAAGTTAGACTAGAAAAACATCCATATGGATTCTAAAGGACAGCCCATGAACTGGACTGTAAACTCCAGCCAGATACAACTCATTAGATCTTTCCTGCTAAATCCACATGGATTTTCAAATCCATAATATTTTATGTTGTGTTTCTTTCCATAAGGCTCAAAACTCCCTGCACACAATTGTAAGAGAGGAAACTTTCTGCATGCAATTGTAAGAGAGGAGAAGCTTTGGTGTAAATTTTAGGAAACTCATATGCTGCTCCTGATCTTGCAAATTACTTTTAATGCCTTGATTTCATGACCCCACCCACTTTTTGGAGGGCAAGTGGGAGCAAATATTTGACAGCTGACTTCCTGGATATATTATAGATAAAAATCATGACAGCAGAATTAAGTGTTATTACTTGATTATATTCTTATGATTAGAAGGTAGTGAAGAAGCCCTCTTTACCTGCCAACCCTTCCTGGATGAAGCCCATCCCTGCTTCATCTGCACACCCCTTTTCTTGTAAAGAACATAGTGATGCAGGTGTCAACCAAAGTGGCTGTACCAACCAGCCTACTGGGCCATTTCCAGGACAAGGGAGGCTATGCTATTGCAGCCTGGCATGGAAAGAAATAGGGGGAATACCTGGAGGCAAAGCTAAGTACATGCTGGCTAGAGGGTGCATCACCCTTCTCTTTTTAAGTGATGGGTTTTGTCTAAGGGCCTAACCGTATAATCTGCAGCGGTTCCATCTTTCCTGCTCCATTGTCAGATAGGAATCTTGTACATTTTGGTTGCGTCAGAGGAAACTGACACTTCCAAGGAAGCTACTCAATGCAGCATGGTATTCGTTGACACCAGACATGAACCAGAACATACATTGCCTCAGGTTGCCTGGCACTGGCCCAGCCTGGCACACCCACGACAGGCAAGTCATTGCACAGACCACAGCAGGCCGCAGGGGGAAGCTAGGGTGGCCAACCGCCAAGCAGCTAATGTGCAACTATGTTTTCAGGCCCATCTACCACAGAGAATAACATACCTACCTCACGGGAGAGCTGATCAACCAAGAACTGTGAAGAATTGCCAAAAGTGGGAGCTGACATATATCTAGTCAGTCCCAGTGGATTTACATTTATGTATGTAAAAAGGTAAAGGATTCCCCTTGACATTAAGTCCAGTCATGCCTGACTCTAAGGGGCAGTTCTCATCTCCGTTTCCTAGCCAAGGGAGCCAGCGTTTGTCCGCAGACAGTCTCCGTGGTCATGTGGCCGGCATGACTAAACACCGAAGTGCACGGAACGCTGTTACCTGCCCACCAAAATGGTACCTTTTTATCTACTTGCATTTGCATGCTTTTGAACTGCAAGGTTGGCAGGAGCTGGGACGGAGCAACGGGAACTCAGTCCATTGTGCAAATTTGAACTGGCGACCTTTCGATCAACCAGCCCAGCAGCACAGCGGTTTAAACCACTGTGCCACCTGCAGTCCCTCTTTTATGTATGTGTGTATGTATTTAATTAGATCAGCTACTTTGGCCATTGGCCTAGATTGAAGGCAGGTTAAAAACTGAAGCGAACAAAACGCACAGTCCAAGCTCTTGGAGAAGGGCTGGGGTGGAGAAGAATTTTGAAAAGTTACATACTCATGTGTGCTGCAGAGTATTCATATGGAGTAGAGAGGAAGTGGGGAAGTGTCAGCAGGAAGGCCCCCAGGGCTAAAAGCAGGCCTCCCAGGCCAATTATCCTAGGCCGGTGAACACGACTGCCAAAGTAGCTCACAAAGAGGATGAGGACGACATTTCCAATCTGTGAAGATAAAGAATACAGAATGAAAGTCAAACAGACCCCAAGGAAGAAGAGACCACAGAGGACTCTTTCTTTCACAGAGGACACTCCTCAGTTTGAAGGGCTGCCAGGAGAAGCATCTTCTTGTTTGAAGGTATCTTCTAATTGGAACTGTAGTGCACAATCAACAGCACTTGGACAGATGACTGAGTAGGCACCAGGTCATTGTGGTGAGATGGTCCATATTTCTATTTGAATCGTAATTTCTAAATGTGCATCTGTATGCATAAATTAATGTAGGGAAATTTATGCAAACCAGCAATTCAGAAACGATCACTCTAGTGTCCACACCAGACAAGGCTGTAGCTCTGTGCCTTGAGTTTATCTAGGACAGGCTCTTACCTGCCTGCATGTATGCTGTGCTAACTGCCATTAAAAGAAGAAGAAGAGCAATGTGTGAAGGCTCAGCAGAGGCTCCCACTCTTCTCCAGCATGATAGATGCTCACCTGCACACCTGAGATCAGCACCACCACAGCTGAAAAATTTCTTCCGCGGCCCTTTTATGGAAACAGAGTAGTATGGCTGGATGCGGCTTGGGACCAAAGCCACAGTAGTGCAATAACAGAATTCTCACCTTCGGGCTGGAGATTCGGAGATTCTTAGCTAACAAGCTCCCACAAAGGGGTGTGCTCCAGATGTTCTACATGGCCCCCATCATCCTCAGCCAACATAGCCAATGGTCAGAGATGATGGGAGGTGTAGCCCATAATGTCTGGAGGATACCATGTGGGGGAAGGCTGTTATTTTATTTATTTATAATCATATCCTGCATTTTTCTTACAAACTCAGAATGGCCTACATCATTCTCCTCCTCCTGCTCTCAGTCTTAACAACACCTCTGTGTGGTAGTTGGATTGGGAGTCTGTGACTGGCCCAAAGTTACCAGATGTCTCCGTGGCCCACTGGGGACTAGAATCCAGATTGCCTGAGTCCTAGTCCAGTACTCTTAACCACTACACCACGCTCTGTTGTGTGGGATGGTCAGGGCAAAGCAGGGGCAAAGGCCTTCCATGGCCTTCCATGATCCAGGGCATTTCCTTTATTTGTTTGGTATATGCCATGAGGGCTTGTCAGGCTACAACAAATAATCAGGATGACGACAAACAGGTAGGTCAGAGGGCATTATTTACAAAGGGAGAGTTTTGTCTTCTGTGCTAAGTCAATAGTTCCTCATCATCTTTCTCCACCCAAGATCAATTGAGGGCTTGAAGAAAAGTCAAATGACAAAACATAGGATGGAAGAAGGTGAAAGACAAGAGACTGGAGCATTAAGAAAGAGTGTGGGAAGGATTAGCTGGATGATGAGTGAGAACAGATTACTGCAAAGATTAAAGGCCACTTTGCATACCACCAGATTACTCAGCATTTGATGATTTGCAGTGGAATGTGTGAAGGGCAGGATCTGAAAATTCGCTCAAGCACCAAATACTCAGATTTGTGAAGATAGATTCACCTTCCAAATAAATGTTAAATTTATTCTTTTATGTCAGGTAAACGTCTGAATAATGGAGGCCAACAATTCATTTGAAGAAGTTCTCTTATACCAAGAAATGATTTGCTTCATTCATATTTAAATATATTCAAAATAAATTGAAATTAAATCTTTAATGGTAAGCATTGTGCAAGAACGTATTCATATGATTTAAATCATACTTCTCTGGGTGTTTTTAAAGAGTCTGGATGTTAAAAACTACATAGCTGAAAGCATGAGTTTTGGCATGAACTAATTTCCCTGTTGTTTCAAAAGCTCAACATATTGCAAGAGATGTAATTGTTACACACAATCATGTGGCTTATGTAAAGTTCCAATTACACGGGCTTGGTTCAGGTTTTAAGGCAAACATAACATTTAAACTATGCTAATTGTGCCCAAGTTTCCTTTCTTATATATTAACATGGGCTCCCTTGCCTGTCTGGTTTTGTGGCTTTTGGAATTGCTTTAACAAATAAATGAGAACAACTTTATTATCCCAGAAAGAGTCAGGCAGGGGAGCCCATATAAAAATATGACAAAAGCCTTGAAGGAAAAGTAAATGCATCTGGACAGGATGGCAAAGAGAACTAAGTCTGGGTTGGAACAAACAGTACCAAAGAAAAATGCCCAGAGAAGGACACCACACAGCAGACTTTAGGAAGGAGGAGATGTTTCCTGTACAAGACATCTTTTTTGCATAACAAATACTTAGGAAGCTCTTGTGTCCCCTGCTGTGACTGGGGCACTGCACTTTGAGCCTCTGTTAGAGCATTTCAGGGCACCACTTTGCTTGATGACTTTTTGACATGTTCATTCTGGAAGTGTTCTGCTGATTTTTCAGAGATGCTCCTGTGGCCTGCTTAGAAAGGCAGACACAGAGCCTTCAATTTTTAACATATTCAGCCTTCTCTATGTAAAAGCCACATTCTGGTGGAAGGCAGATGTCCGTTGCGACACATGAACACTGCACTCCATTGAGCTGGAAGACATCTCAATGTGGAGAGGCCATAATCCAGTGGTAGAACAAACACTCTGCATGCAGAAGATCCCAGCTTCAATCACCAGGTGGGGCTCGGACAGAATCCTCTGTAAAGCCTTGGGAAACTAATGCTAGTCAGCACCAACAATCCTTGGCTGGATGGACCAAATGGTCTGACTCTCCTGAGGACAGCTGCCTATGCTGCTAACTAAATTCTGGGTGCTCAAGTCCATTTTCACCACCTTTGCACAATCCTGAGAGCCAGCTACCCATCCTGGAAAGCCACAGCATTGCCCTTCCTCTCAGTCATGGGACAGGATGCCCATGCTCACCTGGAGGTGCCAGTGATTTAAGCTGGCACCTTCCTCAAGCAAAGTATGTGCCTGTCCTACCCCAAAATAATAAGCTCAGAATGAGAAGTGTAGGAGGGAAATACTAGAACCCTTCCTGATAGAACAATTTCTTGTAAAATGGCTCCAGAGTTGACCTTTGGGAATGAGACTAACTGTACTGCCTGATGGAAATATTTAAAAATATGAATGGGGTTCACACATGTGCATGGAGAACCAACATCTGTCCTTTTTACCTTTCATGTGTGCTCAACTGACCATTTTCTTTCACAAAAATTAAAGAGAGCCAGTATGATGTGGTGGTTGGAGTGCTGGACTGGGTCTCTGGGAGATCCACGTTCTAGTCCCCACTCATCCACGAAGCTCACTGGGTGAGTTTGGGCCAGTCACTCACTCTCAAATTAACTTACCTCACAGGACTGTTGTTGTGAGGATAAAATGGAGCTATGTAAGCTGCCTTGGATTCTGCAGGATTGGGAAAAAAGGCGGGATATAAATCCAATGTAATAATCATGAACTGCTTTTTCAGCTGGTGCTTCTGTATGTAAGAGAAACAGCCCCAGAAGCCACAGTTTTGGAACCCTGAATAAAAGTAGGAAGTTTAGATGGCACAAGAAGTATCACGCTAGGTACTACAAGATGTGATCTGCCCAGCAGATCTCATCTTCTTTAACCTTGGACATTTTAAATAAAGTGTGCTGGGACACACACAGTTCTGTCCTTGCAGTTGGTAATGAAGACAGACAACTGGATTAGAACCAGTGGGAATTCTCTCTCTAAAACAGCCATTTGGGAATGAAGTGGGAAGCAAATGCAAACAGATGGGACAGTTGTGCTAATGCAGTTTAACTGCTGTTCTGGTCTCAGTTAAAGGCTTTAGCAAATACTTTCCCCTGAGGGGTTGTGTGAAACAACCCCCCTCACTTGGATGACTAACCACTGGCCCTTGGATGCAGGCTCTGCTCTTCTTTTGGCTTGCGCCAGGACCTGAGGCACATGCTTGCTTCAGCACCCCCCCCCCCCCCCGCCACAACATTTTGTTTCCACGCGGTGCACTGCTATTAACAAGCTGATAGAACACTCTGTACAGAGGCAGCAGCGACTTTTGCAAATTAAAAACCGTCTCATTCATGTTTTTCCCTCAAATTTGGTAGCAATCCAAAGGTCAAGGACAGCTTGGGCTGAGAAGACGAGGGTAGGGATGGGCTTTTAGTCACTGGAGAACTGACAAAAGGAAGGTTTTCCTGCAATTGAAGCAGGGATAGCCAGTGGTGGGCAGAACATGGTGACCCTCCAGATGTTCTGCTTATGGTTTGCTGAATTGAATTCCACAGCTTCCAAACCAGTGCAGAGGTCTCAGTTCTGGCTTTCACTGGTCCTGTGCAGCTTACTGAAACTGGACAGGGCAGGCCTCCCTCAAAACACATCTACTTGTGTATACTTGCCTCTAAAACTGCCTGAAGCTACTCTTCCACCTTGTCTGTGTACTAGAAGAGATGAAGGGATGCAAAGCTGCTGAGAGGAGCGTTTGAACCTGGCTGGGAATGCATACTGTGTTGTATGAGTCTTACTGAATAAACTTACTAAATAAACTTTAATCTGCAGAGCTTAGTGATGGGGAAATAGGTAGCAATAGTCGCTTTCTCAGGAGACAAAATGCCATGTAGAAAATTCTGGCTAGGGAAACAGAGGTTAGAGAACAGCCTTCCCAGCATGGCCAATGAACAGGACAGCTAGGAGTGGTAGCCAGGCTGGGGAAGGATGCTAAAGAGGTCATTTGAGAAAGGGAATCAGAAACAACTGGAACTGGTGGGTTTGGGGAACTCCTAAAAGGCATGCTGTGAAAGCAAAACAAAATCACAGGCCAGGCAGCAAAACTGTTGCTCTGGCTAAATTCCAGCCAAGAGAGATGATGACTACATTCCCTGGGGTAGAGGGATTTCTCATGGAAAACACCGAGAAAGACTTAATTATGGGGGTACTACAAAAGGCTCTGCTATAATATAGCCTATCAGCATGCACAAAGCTTAGATTTTAAGTCTTGGAAGGTGCTGGGATGCCGTAATGGTCTGACTCACACCTGCACAACAAATTGGGGGGTTGCACCTTCTTTTAAATAGGGCATTAATGTGTAACATAGCATTATACATCAGATGTGGCAACACTTCTGAGGGCCTGGCAGAACGTGCCTCTCTATTAAGCCCATGGGTGTAGCAGGACTTCATCTGCAGCAAGGTACAGAAGGGTACTCCTGGCTCTCCTCGCTCTGAAGAGAACAGTTAGACAGCAGGAAGCCACGGGAGTGCAGAACAGTTATTTCCCCCTGCCTGGGAAGAACCCCAGCTTCAGATTCTTGTTATAGGAAGGATCATCTTTAATAGCTGCTCCAAGGCTGTACCAATTCATTGCTTTTCTTCCAATTGCTTCTCGCTGATGCACACATCAGATTTTCTGTATTCCCACAATCACCACTGCTAGCCTTTATCATGTGAACAGCAGAATATTAAGTGTGTATCAGGAACTTTAACTATTGTTCCATTTCTGAGATCCCAAAGAGTTGCAGGTACAATGTGGGGGATGAAACTGCATTGCTGAAGAGCAAGATAAAAATACTTCAATCAAGTAGACAGAATCAGCCATCTGTTCTGCTATATGCAACATTTTGGCAGATCCTCAGGGGCTAATTCACTTGGTTAAATGCATGGCAGAACTGCAGCCATGCATTTAGCTCCCTCTTTGAAATGTTCAGTAGAACTTACTTGCATTTGATGTCACAGTGTTGCAGTCACACATGCACACTTCATCAGCAGGAAGAACCAAATATGTGGAGCAAGGAAATGTAGGATACTGTAACATGAAGTGCTACCAAATGATAAAGATTACACCCAGTGCTGACTTAAGTCCCATTCATTGCAATGGACCTACTTTAGGTAGGGCTAATGCTGGATACAACACTTGGATGGCCGCTTTGGCAACAGTTGTGCATTTCACATAGTATCCAGTAGGCTCTTATTTACTCTCCAGGTCACGAACGCACAATTGTGGCATTGCTTGCAGCCTTCTCCTTGGGTGCCCTTCCACTTCTTTTGAACTACAGCTCCCATCAGCCCCAGTCACCGTGGCGAACAATTAAGGGATACTGGGAGTTGCAGATCAAAATATCTGGCGGGTGGGCTTCTTGGCAATATACGCGTAGTGCTCTTCTTTGTCAAATCTGGTCACAGTGTCTACCCTAGCTTGGGCCCACAATGGCTGCTTCATCAACAATGGCCAACCACGGAGAGCCGACAGGTCCAGGAAACTGCAGAGAACGAGGTCAGGAGACTATTGCCTGGATGAGCATGCCCTGAAAGAATTACCTCATGCAAACTGGAGATGAAGCCAGAGGACAAACTGGACAGACCAAAGCGTTTCTCGATGGTTGTCAGGCTGCTCTTGAAGTAGGCGCTGTAGAGGAGCTGGGCCAACTGCAGCAGGCCATGGCAGGCCACAAACACCTGTCCACAGAATAATAAGGAATTAAGGGTATGGCCAGGCAAGCCTCAGGAATCCTAAATATTGCAGTGGAACATTTGTGCACCAGAAATCTTGAGATGTACTTAAGATATTATAAACACAATTCTGGCATGCAAATAACCAAATTCAGAAAAATGAATGAATGAAAAGCTTGACTCGATTATCCAGGAACCAATTATTTTGGTCAGAATCCTGTAACTCACTTGCCGCTTTCTGGTTCACCGTCCTAGGTCATGTTCTCAATTTTCTTGCCCTAATGCAATGGTTCAACGCTTACTAAAAGTGAAATGCAAGGCTTCTGTGAATCCAGGAATGTGGTTGTTGAAGTGGAGATTCCCAGCCTCTTCACAATACCAGGAGGCATGGCATTCAGAGAAGATCTAAATATTGTGACAAGTCTTATAAGACGACTGAGGGAATCTTTTGTTTTTTTAGTTTAACTGTGATTGACTGATGGGTTTACACAATTGAAAGAACCTTAAACAGAACATGCATTGTGGCAGTTCAAGGCGTTACCTTCTGACTGACAACATGGTCTGTTACCAATTATTATGATTAGTTCAGCTACTGTTTGACACAGGGATCATCTCTTCACTACCTACTTAAGGCGTGAAACAGGTACTTGTTAAAACAAGCAGAGATGAGCATTTGGCATGACACTGAGCGAGTAGATCCTGCAACAAAATGCTGCAACACGGAGCACCCCTGCTCAGTCTTCTTTTCCAGAATACTCCATTCCATTCTACCCCGCTTCTTCACCACCTCACTCTTTCTGTTGCATCCACCCCTGCATCCATGTCTACTGAGCACGCTGGGCTGGTTTTTTGGGGGTGCCTTTTTTTGCCCTCTTTGCTTTCCCCAGCTACCCACCAGCTTCTCCTGTAAAGCCTGGTCTTGTTCTATGAACTGCTAGTAGCTCTGTTTTGTTTTTTGTTTCTCAGCCTCCTCATTTTGGCTACCATCCTGTCAACACTCACCAGTTGAGTTTGCTATGAAAGGAAGTGTCATGGACTAGCAACAAAATGAATTGCTCAGTTTACTTGCTTCTTAGTACATTAAAGATTAAAGCATGGCATACTTGCTGTTATTGGAAGGTAGGAAACAACAAAATCTACCAGCTAGCCCTTGCCTTAAAGATGCCAAGTAGCATTTACAACAACAACAACAACAACAACAACAACAACATGAGATGGATTGAATTGATAAAAGAAGCCACAGCATTCAACTTGGAAGAGCTGAGCAGAGCTGCCATGGACAGGATATTTTGAAGGGCTTTTATTCATATTTTTCATTATTCATTATTTTATTCACCATAAGTCATAGATGACTTGATGGCATGTAACAACATTATCATCACATGGGTTTCTACTACAGAGTGTTCAAACTGTTTTTGCAGACAGCTTCTCTCATTATTACTGGGCAGCGTTTGTGTCATCAAGACCATGGTCTTTTGGAAATTTGTGAATATCATTAATGATCAGATGATTTTGGCAGTATGGAAATCTGATAATTCCTCCTTCATTCATATGTAGCTTGATTAAGTGGCAGGCTTAATGAGACACTGAGTCTGCCATTTTGGACAGTTGAGCCCCCTTCTCAAGGTTTTCTGAAAAGCAGACAAGCCCTTCAAGGCTAACTAATGGACTCAGAAGTTTTGAACAACAGTTCTTATTATTCTTGACCAACAGACTGGTTCAAAACATCTGAAGGGCACCCACAGGTTGAAATTAGGCTGCATGACCTCTCCATCCACCCTGTTTCCTTCCTTTTGTTCAAGGAATCCATGTGCTAACCAGAATCAATACAGATACATTAATGAAGGAGCACAGAAGAAAAGGTGGAGATGGACTGAAATCCCAAGGTTGCAATATGGAATGCACCAATAAAATACATAGTATTAAAAAGCTGAAAGGAAAAAAATGGTTGGTTAGTTTCTTCAACTTGAAAAATAAAAAATGTCACACTTATAAACAAAATGCTATCTATTTTGTAAGTGCTGTTCCACTTGACACGGCAACCTTCTCTATGACAAGTGTATCTATCCCTACATTTAGACAATTGCAGTGGTACTGCTTCAGTGGCATGAGGGTTTTATGAAGCAAACTTGCCTAGGGTTGCCAATGCCTCAGAGAGCTATGGCAATGTAATCAATAAATGGATGGTATAAAATATGCTGCCTTATCTCCTTCAAAAACACATTGTTGTACTCAGCAAATAAATCTTGGCTTTTGGGTTTGCCTGGCATCTGGGCTGCAGCAATGCAAGAAGCTCGTGCCTAGGTAAGCTTTAGGTCTTATGCAATCTTCATGGCCAAGACCACACAATTTCTTGTACTCAGCACCAGAATCTTCTCTGAGGAAAACTGATTGTGGGACTCAGGGCATTTGGTGTTCAAAGTAGTGAAATCTTCTTCTTAATTGAAAGCCAACTGCTAGGAAAAAGGAAACCTTAGCCTCAGTATTGATTAATCCTCTATTAACAACCTGCTTGTGCAGTTGCTTAATGAAGGTGTCAGGTATTATAATCAGATGATAAGACAGATGTGTGCTAATTATCAGTTTCTGTATAGTGGAGAAAAGACAGCATGTTTTAAGCTGGAAATAACATTTTCATTACATTTGCAAGTTTGCTAGTGCATTATTCATACGTAAACAGAGTATACGTTGTAGAACCTATTCCCTTCCCCTATCCAAGAATAAGATACTGCCTGGAAAACCCCACATATGTCATGCTGAATTCCTTGATGGAAGAAAGCTGAGTTATAAAATGTACTAAAGAGCAAATGAGAGCACTTGAGATCCAGAACAGGAATGGGTGTGGTACCCACAGATTAGGAAATATCCCCATAAAGCTCTATGGCCTTTCAGTATATAGACTGGGCTCACATGGCACCCACTAGGAAAAGAAGTCACAGTGGCTCCTTTTCCTCACCTCCCAGGCATGTTGGTTGCTGCACAATTTGTCTAATTACCCTCATGGCATGCAGGGTCCTTGGGCATCTGAACCTGGAGTGCTGTGCAGATGGCAGGGGGGAGGGGGGAGGCACCCCAGAGCCCCATGGGATGGCTTGGAAGCCACCCTCCACTGCACATGTCCCTGAGCTGGGATGACACAGCAAGCTGGACTTCATGAGGGTAATTAGGCTTGGCAATCCATCCCACAACCTTCCATCACTGTTGATATGTCCCTCCTTAGAGCACCCCTAATGAAAGGTAGCAGTTTTTAAAAACTCTATATGCATAACAGGGATTCTGAGGGACCGTTGTCTCTCTTCTGACACCCAAACTGACCGCAGTGTTTTGGAAAGCTGTGTTAAAATTAACTTCCTACTTTAAAAACTAGCATGGCATTTTTGTTTATGTAATGACAATTAAAACAAAGGCACTTCCTTAGCCATATTAGGACAAGCCTTTTCCTATCCCAACTAACCTTCCGCAATTGTGACAAAAAAAGGGAAAGAAGATGGGGAGGGGAGGGAAGGGGAACTAAGATGAGCCATGCAGCATCCAGTGCATGAATGCCAAGACATTTATAATCTGAAGAGTTCCAGAAGCCTCAGGCATGTTGAATGATACAGTGACTCTTTTGGCATATGCCACCAAAGCAGAAGGGGAGGCAGCTTTTTTCATCTTGCAATCCAAGAGGAAGTTGTCTACTTCTGAATGTTTGTCTACCCAGAAGTCATCCTCATGAATTCAGTGGGAATTACTTCCAAGTAAATGAGCACGGAATGGAAATGTATGTAACAAAAAGCAAGCTCTGCACATCCTGAGGCATAGGAGGCTACTCTTAAATTGTTTGGGTCTGTATTTAGCTAGTTCCCTTTTTTTTTTTTTTTAAAGAAATGGAACTTGTCCTAACTCTGAGATTCTGTGAATATATACACATACAAATGAGATGGAGGGTTTTAATGTCAATTTGAAAGAAAGTCAAAGTTTGCAACACCTCAAAGAAATGGAAAGAGGTATAAACTGTGGGACAAAACAGTTCCTTTGGCTCAGCCTCTATAATATAGAAAAATCTATAGGAAAAATACAAGCTAGGAAGCTGACTAGTGGCTGTCAAGAAGGAAATCAAAGCATTTTCAAAATCTGGCTCCAGACCCAAAGAATAGGCACTGCAACTTCAATCAGATCCTTGGTTTTGCCCTTGGAATCCAAACCATTGTAGCATGAGTGTCCATTCCTGCTTAGTACTTTGTGACCTGCTGAATGGTAAAATCATCAATTTTTTACAAAATAGATATTCAGATCTTAAATAAGTGTTTAATAATAATAATAAGAGTTGCCACCTTTGTATTAGTGTTAGTCAAGTCATGATAAGTGGATTTTATTAAGCAGAATTCTATTATATTACAGATACCAAAAATGCATTTCAAGTTCTCAGTCATAGTGCATTGTAGGAACTCCTCCCTCTCTAAACCTGCATAGAGCAGTGTCCTTAATCTTTTGTAAGGAATAAAAGAATTTTTTAAAAAATAGCCCCACACTTAAATCTCTCTGAAAGGATTAGTGCATTTGTATTTGTAGTAGCCAGCTTTGCTCTGTATCAAGACGGAACACACCTGGTGATATCTCTTAGTGGCTGCGTAGTTCCCTAGAGATACAGTATTCACAAATTTTTGTTCCAGGGCATTGGCTTGAGTGTATGCAAATCGGTGTGGTTAAGGACATGTGTAGCATGTGTAATTCCCCTTTGGGTTTTCTTTAGCATTTGCCCATTCAATTATGCCTCCAAAGCATAACACCAATGCAAGTGCAGGGGATACATCAAAGAAAAGGAAAATGATGGAAACTAAAGTGGAAATAATAAAGCGACTGGAGAAAGGTGAGATGCCATCGTCCATTGGGAAAGCATTTGGCTTTAGTTTATCAACAACTGGAAAACTGTTTAAAGAACTGGGGTTTTTTTAATTGTTTTTTACAATACGCACATTCATACAGATTCTTTCTCTCTCTTCAGTACCTGCAGTTACTTTATT